GGGCTGATCGATTATGGCAAAAATCATAATCTCGATTATTTGGGTCAATAATTGATATCACGATTATTAAAAAACGATTATCCATTTACTTTGAAAACATCAATTTATTGGAGATTTTTTTTTGAACAGTATGTTTTTAACAGTTGATTACCCTGAACTTTAAGTATAATTCAACTGAAAAACCAATAATGATTGAAAAAAAATAATTGAAATGAAAAAATAATCGTTTTATTTCGATTACGTTGTTTTCGTAATCGTTGCAAGCCATAATCGTAATTGCGATTAAAATACGATTAATTGAGCAGCCCTAGTATATTGTATGTATATAATATGCTTACCTCCGTAACATGATGACATCATTATGCAACACTCACGCTTCTATTGGCTAGCGACCAACCCAACAGAGCCGGCCAGCTAACCAACAGACTGGGCTCTGGTTTCAGACAGAGGGTGACAAGAGGTGCTGCAGCACAGACAGTATGAGGAAAATAAAGAGCTTTTTGAACATTAAAGCATGGAGACATGTCACAGTAAATACTCATATGAACCTTAAAAGAGCATAATAAAAAAACGTTAATGTAGAAGTTGATAGGTACATCAGTAGAAAATAAGCTTTGGAACAGAGGCAAATGGAATACAATACAATACATCAAAGTAACACTCGCATATTGGCTATATAACCCTCTAGTTAAGCTACAATGAACAAATCAAATCAAATCAAAATGTATTATAGCCCCAAATCACAATAAATGCCTCAAATGGCTGTACAAAGCAAACAAAAGCAAAGACAAAAAGAAAAAAATACAAACGTCATAGCATAACAATTTGAAAAACATGGGAGAGAGCAGCAAAGAAACAATACAAAAAGTGAAGTAACAAAATCACCAAAGGGGTACGAGTTAGCCACCAGAGACTATACTTATAGCGATCATTCTCTTCTTAATCACAGTATATGAAGTTCAAGACAAGTTATCACCTCTTTGTGCGAAGTGTGTGTCCACATCACCTTGGTCGGTTTCCAGTCTCAGAGTTCTTTGCACTTTCTCATGCTTCGATTTCTTTACCTTGTTTCTTCTAACCTCCCACCCTGTTGTATGCCACCATCTCCCCCTCCCCTCTCCCCCCTCTCCCTGTGGCCACAGCAGCAGCAGCTCCAGCACCTGTCTCACCACGCCCCCGGCATCCCCCTCACGCCTCACCCCTCAGGCCTCTCCCTGGGGGCGGGGGGGTCAGGGACTGCTGGCACTGACCGGTGCCCTGGGGGTCTCGGCCCACCTCGCCTCCAAAGATGAGCGAAACCACCTCGACGCCGAACATCTCAGAGGTAAAGAGCCGTCGAGTTTTCAATCTCAATCTCAATCTTTATTTATATAGCACATTTCAAATAACCTCAGTTGACCAAAGTGCTGTACAGGCAATAATACAATATGAAATAACACAATGGGAGTACAATAATTAAACAATCATTTAAAAAGTGATAAAAAGCACAATAACTAGAAACGTATAAACACACATACAAATGTAAAAATGTTATGTTCAACTAGTATTAAAAGCCAGTGCCAAGAGGTGAGTCTTTAGCTGAGATTTAAAAAGAGTTTTAGTCCTTGATTTTGGCGGATTGTGACTTTAAGGTCCCATGTCATGCTTTTCTGGTTATCACCCGTCCCCTTGTGAGTTATGAAGGTTGTTCTGCATGTAAACGGTCTGCAGAGTCACAAACCCTCAAAGTACACCCTGTAGCGAGTAAAACTCTAACACAGAAAATACCTGTCTATGCTGCCCCAGAACGCCTCGTTGGACATTTCTCTTTTTCTTCCTGGGTACAGTGACGTGCCCATACCCAAATGGACCCATTGGTCCAATCCGCGGACTTCCTCACACACACACTCAATCTTTTCTCAGCTGCAGCTCCGCCGATTTCTCCTCCCTGAGACGGCGGGATGCGGCGAGGCTGTGAGTCGGTGTGTGTGTGTTCGGGCTGGGTTTTGCTGTGTCTCGCTGTCTCGCAGACGGCCACTGGGCTCACAGGGAGGGGGGGGGGGGGGGGCAGGAGCTCCAACAAGCCGTTTAGGACAGAGAGCAGCGGGGAGTTAGGATTTGACATTTACACGATCTAGCCTTCTAATGAAGAAATTAAAAACTGTTTATGTTAAAAGGAAATACATCTGATCCTTAGGGTTACATTCAGTGGCAGCAGGCTTCAATTACCTGGAGGACATGAGCCGTTTGAAGACTAAAAGTTCACTGGAAGTTGTCTTTAATTGATATTAGAGAAACAGCATGATATTTCCAGCAGGATTGGCCAGGGCAGTTTAAAATGTGTTCATTACATTTGCTTTTAGCCTGACACCACAAAAACTAATCTGCAACCCAACAGTTCATGGTTGATTTCTAAGACCGTTGATCAGCCGTAGATAAAAATGCATTTCGGCGGAGCTTCAACTAATTAGAGCAGCGATACATAACGTAATTCATGGTCAATATAAAGAAAGTGTTGACAGGTTATTTTTTGAAAATCTAGGAAGTTACTCATCAGCAGCAGCCTTCTTTTTATATTATTCTTTGGGGGAAATGCCTCAATGCTCCTCTTCACAGTCAAAGCCCTATATTTAATAAAGTATATATTATATTTCTTTCCAAAGGGGAGGGACACCAGACACATTTACCAGAGCAAATAAAACATGAGCTGATATTTTAATCTGGTTCCAAGCCAGGACGTTTTACTCCCTTATAGCCCTAAAACATATCATATCTGCAGTTGTGTCAGGTCAGTGTACACACAAGATTTCAACATTGAAAATCAATTACACTATCCAAAATGTTGAGAAGAGATGTAGCAAGTTCAATACAAGCGAGATGGAGTAACAGACTCTGGGAAATCATCCAGAATGATACCATCAGATACCCCGCATGCAAGTATAATCTTTTTCCACACAAAATGTTTGTATATCTGTATTTACATTGAGATTGAATTTGCATTGAGATAAACTTTGACAGCAGCTACAGAATAAAAACATCATTTTATAATCTTAAACCAAAATGCACGAGACATACATCATTTGTGACTGCCGGCGTTTGCATAATTTGTACAGCGAGTCATCTTTTGGACTGAATTTGAACTCCCCTTTTCAGATTGACGTTATAATATGGACGGACGTATTCATGGCATGGCACTTGTGTGAATGCACAAGAAACGCTTTCTCCCAGTGAACTCTCATTCACCCCAATAGAATATCTTATCTCTGCGCTCTGTTGCAGGCAGCGTGCCAAGAGAGACGTTCTCATGAATAAACCCAGAGCTAGAAAGAGAGGAAAAAAGACGAAGGAGAAATGAGTATAAAAAGGGAACGAGATAGAGAGATCAATGTGTTCAGAGTGGCGTGCTCAGCATCTGGGTGAGAGCTTATGCATGTCTGCAGCTGTGTGTGTTTCTGTTCTTGCATACGAGAGGAAGAATGAGTGAAAGGATAGAGAGCGTTGAACGAGGCAGCGGAGGAAGACAGAGAGCTTTGTCTGAGAGGGAGGGGAAGATAAAGAGGACGCTGAAATCAGGAACAATAGCTGCGCTGTATCGTTATTAGAGAGGATAAGTTGGAGTTCAGTACAACCTTGGCTGACTGGGGACTGTTGTTATTATTATCACCACTGACGTCAAATGTTCTCTCTTTTTTCCCTTTTTCTCTACTCTCTTATTTACCTTTCTCCGCCCCATCCCAGAGGGAGCGCCCAGCAGGGTGAGTATTCATATGTGTGCACAGTAAAGCGTCATATTGTCTGTGTGAGTGTGTTTGTGTGTGTGTGTGTGTGTGTGTGTGTGTGTGTGTGTGTGTGACATTGATAAACTGAGGGAAATGGAGACGCACTGTAAAGTGGCCTCTAAAAAAAACCTCTGGGTACAGCTGGAGCTCTGCCAGGAGAACGCAGCTCAACGCTAGCACAATATCTGCTCAGTGCTTTCAACCTTGAGCTGCTCAAGGTTTTTACTTCACTCGTGAGCTCACAACGTTTCACTGTTATCTGGAACAAAGTAGAAACTCAGAGAATGGATGAACAAGCAACTGTTTGCTCATCAGCGCCAAAAATGTTCTGGTAATCTAGAATAATTACTGTGAACAAGTGAAAGGATTAAAACCTAGTTAATGGCAAATGCTGCCAAGAATACACAGCATTTGGTCTGTGTAGAAACTCCAGCTTGGATCCAGTATAACACGCCAACAATAGGGAAACTGTAAGGGTTATAAAAGTGTGTACTTGATTGAGTTTTTTAAGAAATGATCCCCTGATTTACAGATGTCTCTTTCCCAATGTAAGTCAATTGGAAAAAGTATTGTTGGGCCCTATGACTTCACGGATTGACACAGAAGTTTTAGTACCACTACAACTACTGTATTTGCTTCAACTTCCAAAGCACTTCCTTAAAGGGGACCTATCATGCAAAAATGCACTTTTGTACATCTTTTATACATGAATATGTGTCCCCGGTGTGTCAGGGAACTCACCAAGTGTCAGAAAACACAACCCTCTCTCTTTTCCTCCATACCCAAATCTCTAAAAACGGGGCTGCAACGGATCTGATACAGACTGATACAGATTTGAAATATCTCTGACGTCAGAAACAAGGAGCTCCGCCTATATGGGCAACTCTCCATCTATCAGGGGAATGGGGGGTTGCTGTGGCATGGTAACAGCATGGTAACAGTATGGTAACATGACGCTCGTGCCTCGCCCCCCTCCTTTGCAGGGGGGCGTGGTCAGCTGCAGCTCATTTGCCACAGAATCAGCCCTTGCAAAAGCAGCGCTGGAAAAGAGCAAATCGAGCGAAATAAGGCATGGCTAAAATGCATGATCTGTTTGGTATTTTGAAAAAAAAACTTCACAGACATGTTTTATATCGGTATGGCCCTACAATATATTATTCAAATATAGCATGATAAGGTCCACTTTAAGGTCAGAAAAACACCAACATTCACATTGCTGAGAACCATATGAAAATATGTTTCTCAGCAGACCTTGATCTTTTGCATTGATCAGGAGAGCATTCAAGTCTATTTTCTAACTCAATTGCAAGTTGCTGTAATACCGATGTTGACATCATGTCCTTTTAAGGTCGTAGGCAAGAACACACTTTTGCTGAACAGATTTACTTTCAAACTTGCAGCATTTTAATTAAGTGTGAAGGTGAGATATCATGTGACCGTATGCTGACTCAGGTTACCATAATTAATGGGCTTAAAGATAATAATAAAAACCATCCTTAGAAAAATGTAGTGAATGCAACCTGCCTCACAGGTTTTGCACACATTTTATGCCTCTGTAGTTAAAAGTCCCTGTTAATCGCCTGGATAATTAATGGAGTGCAAATCGTCTGAGTGAAATTCAGTGGACGTCTATAGCTTTCTCCCTGGCTGCAGATTTCTCTGCTTTCTGGAAAGTGTGTGAACACTCACTTACTGTAGTGGAGGACAGCTGGCCTTCATCAGTGTAACTGTTGATAACACACAGAGAGAGGGGGGTGTGGAGGGGGGGGGTGGAGAGTGAAATTGAAAAAGGAACGAGAGAGAAAGACTAAAGAGGAAGAAAAAAGACATAGAAAAGTAGGAAGGGAAAGGTTGTTAAAGAAAATACCAGCAAGTCTTTGTTCTGGCTTTTATTGAGAAATGAAAATGATTTAAGAGCGCTACTGATTTCACTTTCCCTCCCTCTCTCTCCGTCCGCTATGAAACCCCGAGCATAATTTAATTGCTAAACACAATGCTGATTGTTAAGCAGCAGGAACATATTTCTCATATGAGAGCTGAGGTCTTGACTGAACGAAGCCAAGTATTACAGCATTTGGAAAAGAGGGAGGGGAGAGATGCATATCAACTGGCGTTTTCTCAAAGAGACCAGTAAAACATGTTGGAATTTTAAACGGAGGGGAAATAGAGGACAGGAGAAGAGGGGGGAAAGGCGGAGGAGGAGGAGAAAGCAGAGAGGGAAGTTTGTTGAGTTGCACTGAGGTCCATTGTGTGGTTTCTCCTCCGTCCAGCGCTCCTTCCTGTCGGCCCCGTGGGCTCTTTCCTGTGTGACTCATTGGTGTGTTAAACCCACACTGAGCTTGTCCCCCCCCACAGGGGACAGAGAATGACATGTGGCCCTCACCGAACCTCTGGCCCCAGCGTAAAAAACAACACAATGCTTTGATTTCGTCTTTTCTCAGTGCGAGCGCCAGGCCAGGCTGTGTTGTAAATATGCCGGCACAGCTTTATTGCCAAATAATGAGAGTCATATTTTACATTAGGACTGTGTGTGTCGGGGGGGGAAGAGCACTAATTAGCTTCGTACGCTGTCTTGTGCTTCTATGGCTACGGTTTAAACCTGTGCCTACGTCTGCTGTTCTCGGAGTGTGTGTGTGTGTGTGTGTGTGTGTGTGTGTGTGTGTGTGTGTGTGTGTGTGTGTGTGTGTGTGTGTGTGTGTGTGTGTGCTTTCTGTGGTGTGTGTTTGCTGCTCAGTGTGTTCTACCTTCTTTACCCAAGCTAATGTCTACAGATCCATTGTGTGAATGCTTCTTAAAGAGGCCCTATTAGGCCATTTGGGGTTTTCCCTTTCCTGTTCTGTGTTGTAAAGGTTTTTGTGCATGTAAATGGTCTGCAAAGGCTAAAATCCCTGTGTTCCCTCCAAAGGTAGTTTCTCTCCCACACACTCCCCCTTCTGCCTGAAACCATTTCAACTCCTACTCCTTTGTTTACTTCCATAACATACACTGTAGTGACATCACTATGTAACACTCTTTGTTTGGCTAGCGCTCCAACACATTGTAAGTGATAGGCTAAGAGGTAGGACAACTCTGAGCAGTTGACCAATCCCAACAGAGCCCACCAGCTAACCAATCAGAGCAGACTGGGCCCTGGTTTCAGACAGAGGGTGAAAAGAGGTGCCGTAGCACAGGCAGTATGAGAAAAATAAAGAGCTTTTTGAACATTAAAGCATGTAAACACGTCACAGTAGAGACACTAAATACAAATATGAACCTGAAATGAGAATAGTAGGACCAATTTGATATCATAATCAGTACTTAGATTTTGTTCCCCCTTGTAAGTGTGTCTTTCAAAGTCTGTCTCTCAGGAAGTATTGCTAAGAGATTGTGTGTTTACAATTGTGTTTTTTCTCTTTCAGAGTAAGTCAGTGTCATCAACTGACAGTCAGCCCAATGAGGAGCGGCAGGGCCCGTCAGGAGGCTACTCCTCCTCTCAGGGAGGAGCCGAGGCCAAGAGGAGGCGCTGCGACGACAAGGAGCCTCTCCCTCCACACTCCTATGTATGTGTTTGTTCTCCTCATAAGATAACATTTAATATAGTTAATATATAAATGATGACCATAGGTTGAAGAAGGGTAAAAATAAATATACACCTAGATATAAAAGTTAATCATCTATTTGTGTCGCTATCTGGTTTCTATATTTCAAGTATGTTTGCTTTTTTAAATATAAACTTCTTTGTTGAATTTGTTTATTTTTATTACTACTTTTATTACTTTGAAACGTCTTTCCTGAGACTGCTAATGAAAAATATCCTTTAAGCTAACTGTGGCTCATTTTAAGGTTTTTAAACGTGTACTTTCCTCGTTACTAAACAAATAAATACATGTATCAATCATTAAACATATAAATATGCAACAAATTGTTCATATTAGATGCTACTAGTGTGCTATTGATTTGCATTTTTGCATCATTATCACAGAGTAGTTTAAATAAAGCCACATACACACACACCAAAATGTCACAAAGGGCATCTCTGTGGTCATTTAAGAGGTCGGCCATGACGTTATTGGCCACACAGGGTTCCCGGGGGGCCCGGGGCCAATTGGAGCCGCGTTTGGATGCTGGGATGGGGAAGAGGAAGGAGCCGCAGGCGATGTAGCGCCAGCAGAGAGACGGCCAAGGCAGATAGCTGTAATGAATTAGACGGCTGTGTGTTTGCGCTCTGGAGGATTGATTGACACCGGGAGTCTGTCTGTGGAACACGGCCTCCAGCTAAATCAGTTTGGCATCAACAACAGCAGCGCTCCAAATCTTCCCATTAGTTCAGAGCGAGAACAAGCACAGATAGTTTCCACTTTCTGGAGCTTTTTCCTCTCTTGCTGGCTGTCACATTACAGCTCCCTGTTCTCTCTGTTTTCCCTTCTGCTCCGTCTCTTTCTCCCCACCTTTCAATTTCACTTCTTTTCCCTCTCGTCTAGATTTTTTCTTCCAACTTATTTTGTGATTTACTTTTTCCTCTTTCCATTCCTCTCTCTCTCTTACTGTATGTCTGTTTGCTCTTAGATGTCTCTTTCACTTTATCACCATCCCTCAATTTCACTATTCTTCCCACTCTGTCTTCTGGATGCTTCTTTTTTTCTCGTATTTCTTCTTTTACTTTATCCTCTTGACCTTCCTCTCTTTATCTGTTTGCCTTTCTGCTCTTTTATATTTCTGTCACTACTTTAACCTCTCAATTTTCCTCTTTTTTTTAATCTCATTTTAAATGTTCTCCTTTTACTTTCTCTATCTTTGCATTCCTGTCTTTCTCTATCTTTGCATTTCAGTCCTTGTCCTTCTCACTCTCTGTCTTCCTGCTGTTTCTTTGACCTTTATTTTCCTCTTTTCATTCCTCTTCCTCTGTTTGCCTTGTTTAGTTCAAGGTTCAAGTTTCTTTATTGTCAAACTAACATAGCTACAGAGTTATAATGAGAGAATCCTCATCCTACTACACATTCAAGCACAGTGTTAAAAAGTGGCTCATTGAAAACCAACAGTGTCACTGATGTGTGGGTGTAGGTGTTAGTATGAGTGTGTATTGTGAATATTTTATTTATTATCATGACTTTCTCTTATCTATATTCAGTGATGTCATCTATTGTAAATATGTACAATGCTATAACAATGTCGTGGTATTTTTATTATTGCTTTTAGGATGTCTATCACCATCTGGCAAAGGGACAATCGATGAAAACTAGCCTTTTGGCTAATTCGAGTACTTTTACATATTTTTAATATGTTGATTAATGTACACTGTCCCTTGTTTTAAATAAATCAATTCAATTATGTCGTTGAAAATCTTAGGTCACAGGCTTCTCCAACAATGTGACACAATAATACAGATAAGCAGACAATATTAAAACAATATTAAAGTATACTATATTAAAAGTAATACAAAAGAAAAATAGTTCTAAAAAAAGTGGAATAGTGCAATACGAGTCGATATACAGGGGTGCACATAACTTTCTCAGTGAGGTACTCAGATGAGTACCTGGAGTCAGTGTTTGGTACTCCAACTTCTGGCTCCACTCAAGCTTATTTGATGAAGCCCTCTGTATCGCGAACGTCAACGGGTGGGGGGGGTCGTCCGGTGATCTAACCGCCTTCTGGAAAAGCTTCACAAGTACGTCGGTACGCAAATGCGCTTTGTGACACCAGTTATGTGCACCCCTGTCTATATACAAGATATTGGAAAGATATATTAGATAATAGATCAATAATGACTAAGTAGCAGATGAATGTTGTGAAATAGTTTCAGCAGTTCAGTTGTTTAACAGTCTTATTGCCTGCGGGATGAAGCTGTCTCTGTGTCTGGTGGTATTAGTCCGGATGCTACGGTAACGCCTTTTTTGTCACCACATCTCAATTTCTCTACTTTTCCTTCTCAATATCTTTCTTCTCGCTGTTTTTATCTATTTTGCCTTTTCCTTCCTTCTTACTTTCCTCTTTCGTTTCCTCTCTCTGTCCGTTTGCCTTTCTGCTCCTATATCTCTCTTTATCAACCATTCTCAATTTCAATACTTTTACCTCTCTACCTTTGTGTTCCATCTCATGTTGCATGTGTTCCTCTTTCCATCCTCCCTCTCTCTTCGCCTCTCTTTGTGTGTCTCTGTTTTTCTGCTCTCTGAATAGACCGTAGACGTAGCCCTGTTTTGGCTCGGTATAATTAGGTGCTGATGTCACTCCACACTGATGTCAATAGAAATATCAGGCCATGATCACATCAAAGCGCTGTTGCCATGGTGACTAAGTGCCAGAAAAAGGGAGAGAGAGAGAGAGATATATAAAGATGGCTAGACCAAAAGGGAAAATGTGCCATCAGTGGAGAAAGAGCAACTGTGTGTGTGTGTGTGTGTGTGTGTGTGTGTGTGTGTGTGTGTGTGTGTGTGTGTGTGTGTGTGTGTGTGTGTGTGTGTGTGTGTGTGTGTGTGTGTGTGTGTGTGTGTGTGTGTGTGTGTGTGTGTGTGTGTGTGTGTGTGTGTGTGTGTGTGTGTGTGTGTGTGTGAGAGAGTGAGATGCTTGGTGATGCAATTGGAAACAGGACTCAGAGAGACACGAGGAGAGCTGGAGCTTTGATGGCAAACACTGACGGTTTATTTGGAGTTACGGCCGGAGAATTGACAAGACAGGTCGTGTGTCACGAGTTGACACAGCGGCTGCCAAACCAATTCTGAAGAACTCTTTCTGCAGCTCGAGGTTTCAACTAGTTCGGAGTGTAATAATCAACATTCTTCATCAGAATCTAACTAGAGTCCATAGGAAAGAATGTGCGCCAGGGAGCCTTCGTCCCTGAACAGTAAACTACCTCATGGCGGCTTGTGCTCTGTCATAGACTGGCAACAACAATGCGCCCAAGCTGCCCCTCCTTAAGTGAGAGCAATACCCAGAGCCGTAGAAGTTAACTATGCCATGGGAAAGGAGACAGTGAGAGGAGAAAACGATTAACTGTGTCGAAGGTTGAATACCTAAGCAAATTATTCCCTAACAGTGTTATATGTTGCATGGAGGACAGACAGTGGAAAGAAGCAAAGAGCAGCCAGTGTGATATTGATATATCGATCTGTGTGTAGACGTGTGTGTGTGTGTGTGTGTTCTTTGTGCGTCTCCATCTTTATTATTAAAGTTCTCAATGTACACTTACAGTATACTATATCTGTATGAGGGATAGAGAGATAGAAACCAACAAACCAGCTGACATTTGGAGAATATCTAACCTTTTTATGTCTTCTTTGCTCCTCAGGACAGTGATGGAGACAAGAGTGAAGACAATCTCGTAGTGGACGTCTCCAATGAAGTAAGTCACCTATCTGTGTTTGAATTGTTTTTTGACATCCTTAATCTAGTGGCTGATACATTATTATTAACTGTGGTCTTCTTGCATGTCGAAGGGTTTGCTTGTAGAGACAACACACAGAAAAGTATTACTCTACTGGGGTCGTCCCCGTTTTAAGCTCATTCAATTCTTTTTTACATCCGAAAACTTGGTTCACTCTTTCACTCTCATCAAACCTGTCCTCAGCTGCAGCGGGCAGATCATTTCAGAAAAAGAAGGTTATAGCTGCTGCATGGCACATATAGCATTAAGCTCTTAAACGTGGTCGAGCATTCAGCAGATAGCTAGTAGGGTATTTCCCTCAGGGGAAGATGGAGACCAAAACAGCTAAAAGGAGAGAAGGCGTTAATGAGTGTAAGTAAATAGGAAAATATGTGCTAATAATTGTGCAATATCAACTAAAAAGTGACCTGCCCATCCAAACCAATCATCTAATCTAAGCTTTTATTAGTGCGAAAGTTCAAGTAACTTTATAAATATGCCATCCTTCACTTGTTAACTCTTAAGCATACCCTTTTGAGGTGTATTTGGTAAACTGCTTTATCCCAGAAATATTTAGATAACATATTGGGTTGTCTAAAAAAAGACAAAACTAAGTGTTTAGTCATATCAAATAATCTGTGGCTGTGATTGGCAATTTTGTATTTAGAAATCAACAACACGTGTGCATTTATTACATTACATTGCATTTAGCTGACGCTTTTATCCTAAGCGACTTACAATAAGTGCATTCGACCAAGAAGATACAAACTTGAAGAAAACAGAATCATATAATCAGGTTTCATAGAGCCAACACATTTCAAGTGCTACTCAACTAGCTTTAGATAAGCCAGTCCTTTATTAGTTTAAAAGTGCTTTGTTAGTAATTCTATCGCTCGAAGTGGAGTCGAAAGAGATGAGTTTTCAGTCTGCGCCAGAAGATGCTTTCTGCTGTCCTGATGTCAATGGGGAGCTCATTTCACCATTTTCAACTGTAGGGTTGTTTTTCTTCAATTCCTTGGCGATTGTAACTAATAGAATATGAGTATGCTGGACATGCATGTGTGGTATCTCCTTAAATACTTACAAAACTAGCAAATGATATATCTTAAATTCTATGAATCTTGAAAGAAAGGGTTACCTTCTGTCTACTTATCGCTTAATAACAAAGTTTGTCAATGGGTCACACTCCCAAATCTTCATACATGTTGACCACACTCACTGAAGCAGAATTGTTATTAGTTTCTTCAGAGCAATTTGAAAATATTCAGCCTTCACTACCAATGTTTTCTCCCAATCCTCTCTCTCTCTCTCTCTCTCTCTCTCTCTCTCTCTCTCTCTCTCTCTCTCTCGCTCTCTCTCTCTCTCTCTCTCTATCTCTCTCTCTCTCTCTCTCTCTCTCTCTCCTCCCCACTTCCTCTCAGTCTTTCTGCAGGAGCTGTTCATCCCTGTTTCAGAAACATGTTTGCTTTCCCTACAAAGCCAGAGTTACACACAGCCTTTATCCTACAGAAGCTCTCTGCAGCCCAAACATGAATAACACATGAATCCATCGGACCAGTGCTGCTCGCGGGAATAACTATAGATGTACTTTGCTCCGCTTGTATCACCTCTCCGTGCTCTGCATAACCCTCACTGTCGGGCTGTCAATAGTTCAATCTCACACACACACATCCTGTAGGGGAACTGTGTGTGTGTGTGTGTGTGTGTGTGTGTGTGTGTGTGTGTGTGTGTGTGTGTGTGTGTGTGTGTGAGAGAGTCAGATTGAAATATATCTTACCTCACAAATTCATTGTATCATCAACAATTTTTAGCTTGTTTCATTATTTATTTTTACAACTAATTCAATTTGAATACAGACAAAGTAATGAAAATGTGAAAATAAATCCCAATTTGGGATCTATATAGTATAACATTATCTGAAATGTATAAATGAGACTATTTCTTTGCTGTAGATTAATAGATCAGAATCAGAAACGGGTTTATTGCCAGGTAGGTTCACACATACAAGGAATTTGACTTGATGTCGTGGTGCATACATAAAATATAAAACAAAAAATCTTTAAGGACACTGTAATAAAATATAGTTAAATAGCAATAAAATAGAGCAGTAATTTACAGCGAAATAGATTGCAATTATAGAATATAAACTATGAAATAAGAATATGTGCAGTAAGCAGTATTTGAGCATTAATGTAATGCATATAGAGACTACGTTGTGGCAGAGGTAAAGTGTTAGTGGGGGGGCCGGGCCTTGTTTAAGAGGCCGGTAGCGGAGGGGAAGAAACTGTTCAGGTGGCGAGAGGTTTTGGTCCTGATGGAGCGCAGCCTCCTGCCAGAGGGGAGGGAGGTGAACAGTTTGTATCCAGGGTGGGAGGGGTCGGCCACTATCTTCCCTGCCCGCCTCAGGTCGTGGAGGGATGGCAGATAGCAGCCGATCACCTTCTCTGCAGAGCGGATGACACACTGCAGCCTGCCCTTATCCTTGGATGTGGCTGCGGCGTACCAGATGGTGATGGAGGAGGTGAGGATGGACTCCATGATGGCAGTGCAGAAGTTCACCATCATCGTCTTTGGCAGGTTGAATTTCTTCTGCTGCCTCAGGAAGAACATCCTCGGCTGTGCTTTGATGAGGGAGCAGATGTTCTGCTCCCATTTGAGGTCCTGGGCGATGATGGTGCCCAGGAAGCGGAAAGACTTCACAGCAGTTACTGGGGAGTCACACAGAGTGATGGGGAGCGGGTGGGGCTGCGTTCTTCCTAAAGTCCACAACCATCTCCACTGTCTTGAGAGCTCCAGGTGGTTTTCCCCACACCAGGTCACCAGATGGTCCATCTCCCACCTGTAGGCAGACTCGTTCCCACCAGAGATGAGTCCGGTGAGGGTGGTGTCGTCTGAACTTCAGGAGCGTGACAGACTGGTGACTGGAGGTGCAGCTGTTGGTGTACAGGGAGAAGAGTAGAGGGGAAAGAACGCAGCCTTGAGGGGAACCGGTGCTGATGGTCCGGGGCTCAGAGACGTGTTTCCCCAGCCTCACGTGCTGCTTCCTGTCAGATCAATCCTATGGTCTGTTAGATATCAGAAAAATAATCTTAAAAAGAAACATCCATATATATTTACTGTTGTATAATGAAGGAGATATTTTATAGCTTAAGAAGTTGGAACTAGTTTGATTTGCGTTTTTTTTGCTTAAAAAATTACGTATCCAATAACCAATCAATTTACAGAGTAGCTGCAAATTAGCCTCCTTTTTCTGAACACCAACAATTCAAGTAATGCTTTCAGCTCTACACCTACTGTATATCCACGACTAAACAACATTGCATTTCAGTGTTTGTTTCGCCTGCTTGTTTTAATGTCAATCATCAAGAGTAACCTGGGTTTGTGAAATGTGAAATGATATGTAGCTGCTTCAGCGTTCTGCTGCAGTTTCCTTGTAAATAGAAAGAGCTCCTATGTAAGCTCATTACCAGCAGCTGCTATTTGTGTTCTCTTTTGGTGAACACACACACACACACACACACACACACACACCATCTCCTCTAATATACCTCTTGTTTATTTCTGTTCTCTTTCCCATCTTCTTGAAGCCTCTCTTCTTCCATCTCCTCTCCTCCTCACCCTACCTCCCTTCTCTCATTAGATAACTGCAGTCTTCATTTAATATATGCAAAGCCGTTTATGCCCCTGGAATATTTGAGTTCTTTAAATACTTCACGCAGTGTACAAAAATATGTTTTATCTGAGCCCGCTGTTTTTTGATATTGCACACAAAAGCGGAACCGGTCTCTTGTGTGATTTAGAAACTAGTACAAAAGTGTAAAGAACAGAAAATGTGACAAATGTGGGTAATGGCAGAAAAAGAGACGCACATTCGCTGGTGTGTGTGTGTGTGTGTGTGTGTGTGTGTGTGTGTGTGTGTGTGTGTGTGTGTGTGTGTGTGTGTACTTTAGAGAGAATCTGCATGAATGTATTTAAAGATACATGCTACCATATGTGTGTGCATTTTCACATTCTAGTGGCTACATGCCATGCAAATGTCTCTGTGGTTGTTTGAGTAGATGTTCTGGTGTGTGTGTGTGTGTGTGTGTGTGTGTGTGTGTGTGTGTGTGTGTGTGTGTGTGTGTGTGTGTGTGTGTATGTGTGTGTGTGTATAAAATGTCAGTGCTGATCACTGTGCCCGGTGAGAAGTGCTTACTGCAGCACTTTGTTCTGGGGGAGGCAGCGCTGGCTCAACAGTGTCTCCAGTGATGAAAGCAGCTGTAACAGCAACATTATCTCCACACACCACCGTGCAGACACAGTGACAATCTCTGCTCTTCCATGTAATGTTCCCTGAGTCTTTCAGAAATCACCAAACAGACGGCTGTATCTGCCCATTACAGAAGAATCTGCTGCATTTTAATTGCTGCTGCTCATATTTGAGCCATGGATGTGTACTTATGTGTCTTTATTGTATCACTAAGTGTGCTTTTTTCTCTATATTTAACATATATGGTCATATTTTCAGTTATGGTTGATTTGGTGACTCCCTTGTTATTGGTGGTAACAGCAACCAGGTTTATTACTAATAATGAGAATCTAGTTTTCGGGATATTTACACAAAACCTAGACACAAACAAAAGACTACAGTAAACATGTGATAAATACTTACTATATAATAATTATGATATGCAACTTGAAGCATTTAAAGGCTTCCATCTTTAATCAGAAAAAGTCATTTTGATGCAATGCTGCAAAAAGGACTTGAGTGCAAAAAAGCTGAGTCATTGTGTGACCTTCCTGAGACTGAAAAGATAGAAACAGCAGAACTTGAGATCGCTTTTCAACCTCTCTTCCGATGCTTGTCGTCCAGGAGCCGAACTCCCCTGCCGGCAGCCCCCCCCACTCGCCCCACGGGAACGGGCTGGACCGGGCTCCCACTCTGAGGAAAGAGCTGCCGGGCTCCTCTAGCGCCGGAGAGGCCCCCTCCCCCCCGAACCCCCGCAGCCCCACCCCAGGGAAGTCCAAGGACTCTGCCCAGGTGAGACTGAATGATACTTAGGAAGCGGCTGCTCTGTGTTGACGGGACATCTGATCTCATACTTTCTGATGATCAGTGCTGGAAGAAGTACTGAAAGCTTCTTTTTTACATTTTATGGAATATAAACAGGAATGAAAAAAAAAACACAGACAGGCATGGAAAAATAATACAAATTGGGTCAATGAGTCACTTTGGTATTTGTGTAGTTCAGGGGTCTGCAACCTTTTTGACCAAAAGAGCCATTTTGTCCCCTTTTCCACCATTTTTTTTTGTCTGGAGCCGCAAAACATATTTGATAGCTTATAAAGTTGTATATATTGTTACATGGACAGAGGGTGTCGTTTTTCTCATACTGATAATCTGAACAATCTGTGCTGTTGTATTTGCTGTAAAGTGTCTCTACTGTAGGCTATTTTTATTATATGTACAGCACTTTGGCTCGACCAAAAATCGTTTATAAATGTGCTATATAAATAAAACTTGATTTGATTTGACATAGGCAAAAACTACAGTATTTTGAATTGATTATTTATTACATTATAGAAAACTGTTTACCTCTAATAATAAACAAATAACTCTTATAAGGAGAATTAAAAAGAATACACAGGTCTACTTTAAAATAAATCAACACAGCACTTGGGGAGTCCTCTGCATATTTGAAGAAAATGAATATAATTAAAATGGGCCCACTTTGAAATAAATAAAACATATAGCTGCGCCCTAAAAAGAGTTAACTGATTGAATTATGACTGAAGATCGTCAGCTGTCTTCCTCTTCCGTGTTTTTCCTCCAACACGTAAAGGCTGCAGCACCTTTGACAACTTCTCTCCACATATCAAACATACCGGTAAGCCAGCATCGTTTGCTGTGAAAGCATATAACTCTGTTCACGCAGAATTAAACCCTCCGATACTTTTCTTTTCTTTGATTTATCCATAGTTCGCTCATCGAGCCGGGGGTCAGGTTATTCGCCTGCAAGAAAAGGTGCTGCGGGACCGTAGCAGGATATGACGCATATTTTAGTTGACCTAATTGAAACCTTTTTTTTTTTTTTTTTTTTACGTGTCACAGTATCACTTCAAAATACAAGATACGAAACATTTTCAACCGTGCAACAAAATATAAATAGTCCTACAAACATTTTTATTTAATTTCTTTCTTATTTTTGTCTAAGCTCAAGAGTAGAGGGCTTAAAGACCCGGCATCATAATATACTTAAAGTACCAAGCGTAAACTTTTAAATGTCTGCATTTACATTATGGTTATTGGTGCATTAATGTATCTATCACATCTGGTAAAGGAGTGGGGGTTTGAATCCTCTACTGTTTTGGAATAAATAGTTATTGTCTTATTAAATGTTGCTGACAAGCCACTTGGATGATAGCTGTAGCTTTGCCAGAAACACCGTCATGGATTTGAATCAAAATTAATAAGTGATCATCATTCTGAACGTCAGCGTATAGAATGAGGGCTTAGGTGTGATAAGCCGTATACCTCCCAGGACAGATCAGCCATGATTTGTATTGGTTATATTTCATTTCTGACTTTAAGTCTCAGTCTCCATTGTCCAAGTCTGGCACCCCGTCCCCGTCCCACCGAGAGGCCCTGACCCCCGGAGCCCCGGGCCCCAGCACCTCCTGCCTGCGTCTGGTCAGCAAAGCAGCCTCCAGTGCAGACTCTCTAGGTGAGGCTGGGGATATAAAACCTTAAATCTATGTATCCTATGTTTTGATTGTGTTTTTACTGTGTATTGTGTTTTTAGCACTTCTTAACACGTGGCTTGTGTTATTGTGTATTTATTCTTTTATGATTCCTATGATGTTTTAATGTTTTGTCAAGCCCTTTGTGACTATGTCTGTGAAAAGCGCTTTATAAATACATTTTACTTACTTTACTTACTTAAAAATTGCCCTGCATATTGTTACCGTTGACAACATAGTTTGTAAACCACTAATTCAGAAAGCTTCTCAGGAAAAGCCAACTTCAAATGGTGATATGATTACATACATCATTACATAGTGGAGAAAGCTTTAGCATTACTCATAACCTTTCATTTAGCTGCTCCACTTGAGCTCTTTTTCATATGTTTTAAACTGAACGAGAGCTCTTTGAATTGAACTGTCATGGCCAGAATGGGATTTGCTCTGAGTATTCCTCTGCCCTTCATGCCCTACATCCCTTTGTCCCCCAGTTTTCCCTTTTCCTGATTGTTTATGGTATGAAATTACTGCAGAATATTCATGCAGTTTACGGTTTTTCCTCCCAAAATATCTTGATTTTTGTCAGTGCAAAGTTAAACAAAATGCCTCCCCTTGGGCCTGATATTTTAAATACACAAAGCCTCAAAATACAGTTGTATCATTGGACTCTTGAGCAAGTCTCAACAGCTCTCTGCTCCTGTGGCCAGCAATGAAAACCATTGTTTTACCTGATAGCGCAACAACTCAAATGTAATAAAAAAAAAACCTCTGTAATTGTGTTTAGATTCCATGTAGTGTTTCACCTCCTTCCTTCATCCCCTCCTTCCTCTTTCCCTCCCTCCCCAGCTCTCCGCAGTCCCATGTCTGTGCCCCCCGGTTCATACCCAGCTCATTTTGGCGTGGTGTCCCATGCAGGACTGAACGGAGAGCTGGCCAGCCCAGGAGGCTTCGGTGGGGCTCTGACTCTCTCTCCACAGATCAGCGCTGCAGCCAACGCCTACTCCCGCAGCCCCATGGTGAGTAAAGGCCAAATGGTTACTCTAAGTCCAGGTTTGATTTCAGCCTCAGTTCTATACCCTCATTAGTTTGTTTGTACCCTCTGACTGTTAAAAAAGCTCAATGTGTCCTGTGTTGTCAGGTAGAGCATTCATTACATGATTAAAGTGATCATGCTTACATTAACTTATTCATTTTGATAGAAAGGGACAGTCATGGCGAGAAGTTTTGTAATTGATAAGACTCACAAATGCAAATCTGTGTAGCACTCCTGAAATACTTTCTTCAACATGCTCCAATCATTTAAACGTCCAGCATGGCAAACATGAACGTAAACAACAGGAAGCAGCCTCAGCCGTTAAATCACAGTGTTCACAGTCTCTTATGGCCGACATGTAGTAACATGTTTGTTGATGTGGCCTGGCGTTAGTGTAGCTACAGTATTTAGCTGCAGGTCTCCCTTGAAAAAGAGATCATTGATCTCAATGGGATTTTACCTGGATAAATAAAGGTTTTGAATTTGAATTGAATTGAATAGCTCCCAGAAGACCCAGCCTAAGGCAGGATGTACACTGCGGTGCCCCTTCACCACCCTGTCATCAGTCTGGGGGAAGGCAGTATGCTCATAACATCACACATTAGTGTCAGCACAGTAATATGCACACACTTCAGCAGAGTTTCAGACTGCAGTCAGCCCGTTGTTTTAATGCTGAGTCATTTTTGGGATTACATTTTTACTTCAACTTAAAATAAATTCAGTTGGATCATTTTACATATGCTTTGTCTGTACGTGCTACACATTGAATTAATGTTGCCCATAAATCAGCTGCATTTTAAGATGCTCTGACAAAAATGTCCACACCCTTTCGTGGTGGCGGTTTACGCCTTAGGAGGTTGACATTTTGCAATTAGGTCAAGTGTTTGTCACGTTATCAGTCTTGAATGCATTCACATGTGGATACATGTCTGTACAATGGTTGAAGCTATTGCAAATCCACGCCTTTCTAAAGAGGACATGTAAAAAAAAAACTCTTTTTTATGCACATACATTTGGGTTGTGCCATTCATATTTGGCTCCACTTGCTAAGTCACATAGGTTTATTCAAATGTACATCCCTATCTCACTGACTGCTTGAAAACTACCTCTGCAAAGGTGAACCATATTTTCTCAAGCCTATCAGAGCAGACGTAAAGAGACAGGCTCGAAATTAAGTCTTTCTGAAAGATGCTAAAAATTGTTTTTTTCAGACAAAATGAATGTGTTTTTTTTAACATAAAGGCATGTAAACAGGTTATAGTGGAAACCCAAATAACTTATACTCACCTAAACATGACCATCATACAGTTTGTCCTCTTTAAGTCAGTCCGTGTAAAGCTGTTAATTATTCGTCCACTCTTTTGTCTCCTCCAGGTGGCGTATGAGTCTCGGTCTCACCTGAGGGCCCCGGGGCTGTCCTCCTCTCTGCCTGGTTCCTCTGGGGGCAAACCGTGAGTATTCACACTGTCCATATTTCATTTAGGATTGAGAACGGGGTGTTAGTATATTTGGTAGACACATTTTCAAGCCTTTAATTACTATTTGTCTGTAAACATTGAGCTGCTGCACATTAAAGCATGTAAACATTTCATTTGCATTTGTTGGAGGAAATCTCAGTCTGGGCAGTATGTGAAAAATAAAAGGCTTTTTAAACATTAAAGCATGTAAACATTTCACAGTAGAGGCTCAAAATACATTCTATGTCCTCTTTGACGGAGGGTGACAGTGTTGAAAGCGGGAGATAGCAGCAGATCTGTGCAGCTCTGAGCTAAACACAGCATAACTTTCTTTTGTTTTCATTGGAAAGAAATGTGAATGCTGAGCGAGATAATCAGGGCAACTTAAATACATAGTTAGACACATAAGATTGCTCATACTTTACTGAAAACTCGCTCAGTGATAATCACATTTTGGATTGGATGAGAACCCAAATAAATAGTTTCTCCCATCTGCAGGATTTGGGGTTTTCTATTCCCCCTGTGCTTTTCAGCGTTGCACATTAACCAAAGACATATATTGTAGAATTGCATGCGCCCAGCTCACTTTCTCCACGTCCACTCGGCTGTGCAGACTGTTGAATGAGGTTGTTTTTGTCATTTGTTGCAGAGCAGCAATTCATTCTTGCGGTGCTAATTTGAAATCATAAAACAGCCTGGGTCTCCAACAGCTACACTATTGATCGGCCATTAGCAATGCCACACTGCCTCTGCCCTGTAATACAATCTGCCATTATGCATCCCCGCCTACAGCTACAGTGGGGCTAGTAATTGCCAGAATTCAGGCAAATATGACTGAAGATCCAAAGCCATTACCGTTGCAGTCTCAACTCTCTGCTTTGCTTGTAGCTGTTAGTGCATTGTGTTTACTTACCTGTTGCTCGCCTCCTTTCTCATTGATTAAAATGATTGATTCCATCTTCTCTGTCCTGTCTTCCTCCCATGTATCCTTCACTGTCCTCTGCTGTGCCCTCAAAACTCTGTTTAATTTTAGCTCTTCACTCCTGACGTATTGATTTATTTCTCTTTCTGTTTCTGCGCAGAGCCTACTCGTTCCATGTGAGCGCAGACGGCCAGATGCAGCCGGTTCCCTTCCCCCCCGACGCCCTGCTGGGCCCGGGGATCCCTCGGCACGCCCGTCAGATCCACACCCTGAACCACGGAGAGGTGGTGTGTGCCGTCACCATCAGCACCTCCACCCGCCACGTCTACACCGGAGGAAAGGGCTGCGTGAAGGTGTGGGACATCAGCCAGCCGGGGAGCAAGAGCCCCATGGCCCAGCTGGACTGTCTGGTGAGAGGAGACGAGAGAGGAAGCCAAACAGGCAGAGTGTGTTTAAAATAGAAATGGATTCACAGACACACATTCACACATCAGGCTGCAGCATTGTTTTGGTTATGTCATTTTTCCTCATAGATTTTGTTAATATTATCAAAATGTCCACATTATTATCCTAAAAGTTCCCCATCTTGTTATCATCTGTCCCATAAAGCCTCATAGAAAAGGCAAAGGAAGGCAAGTTTATTTATATAGCACATTTTGATAACAAGGCAAATCAAAGTGCTGCGCAAAAAAACATTAAAAGCCCAAAGACATAATGCAATAGAAACACATTGTGAAATTACACTCAAATAAAAAGCCAAAATCATTAGAAAGCCCATATAATACAAATTAAAGAAAGGTTAAAATAGAATAAGACTGCTATAAAATACAAGAATAAAAGTCACAGTGCAGTGTCAGAGGAATAATTATCTGATTTAATAAAAGGCAGGGGCAAGAATAAAAGTAATCAGTCTTGATTTAAAAATAATTGGGAGTTGCAGCAGACTTGCAGATATATATATTTGTTCTTGTATTTTGTATTTTATTGCTTTGCACAATTTAAAATGACATAAACATAACAGATAACAAATGATAAACCCAATCAAATCTCAACTTGAAAGAAAGGAGAAGATCAATATTCAAACAATAGATTGAATTCAATAATGATGGAGACATTAAAGAACTTATATTAAAAAAACATCAATACATTTCGTTGAAAAAAAGAAGAAGAAAAATGTGATTATGAAAACGGTATTCATAATGTGTGAGTATCTGTGTATATATGGAGAAGCAGGTATCAAATAGGAGACCATTTGTAATGCGTGAAAAGCCGTA